GGTACCTGGCTGGAGCCAACGGGGAGGATCTGTACTACGGTATGGCGCTAACTTTTCAATGTGAACTATCTTGGGTTTACTTCCCGCTGACAACTGAATGCGGTAGATCAGGTCGTTGATTTTCTTAAGGACGGTGTATGGGCCTTACCAGTTCCGTTGCAGTTTTGGACAAAGTCCTCTTTGGCGCTTGGGTTTGTACAACCATACTGGATCGCCTCTCTCAAAATGTGTTCCTGTGGCGTGCATGTCGATTCTAGCTTCTGCTTTATCGCTATTAACTTTCAAACATTGCCGAGAGAATCCATAGACTTTGTCCTACCATTGCATACATCACATATTTTACACCAATCCGCTACATCTCGTCGGCAATTGACCCAATAAAATCTTTCCCGAACTCGTCTCAGCGTTCTCTTAGTATCAAAGTGTCCTCCTGAACGGCTGCTATGAAGCTTCTTCAATACATTTCTCACCTGTGACCTCGGCAGTATCACTTGGCGGACTACATGTACTCCATCGGAGCACTCCCACTTCCGGTGCAATAGGCCATCGTGATGTTACAGGGAATCCCACTGGGTCCAGTAGCCTTTTTTAGTTCTACTGTATTTGGCTATCTCTTGCCAAGTAGGAGTGACTTTATTTTTCAGCCATTATCGGACAACCTTTAAGTCATTGTCTTTCTTCTGTCCCTGTCTCAGACTTTCAAGGGTGATTTCTTCTTTGCCGCCCTCTGGCTTGATATTGGTTGCCCGAAGGGTAACTTTATCAACTGGTTCCTCCCGTTCTCTGAGCCCCTTACTGTACTGGCATTCTCGTTCCAAACAGGGTCGCCTGGAGAGAATGTCTGCGTTGCTATACAGATGGACTCTACGATGCTCTACTTCCTGATTATTGCTATAAAAAACCGGCTCGGTGTGGGTAATTGGCTACTTCAGGACGCACAGCTGCTGTTATTATTTCTTGTTAGACTTCCTGGCGGGCTTCGGAAGATTAATCTTTGTGACTTTCCGGCTTCATTCCCTGATTCTCTATTTATAGAACGAGCTCTGCTTCTACAAGTTCTTTGAAGGTGCCCGATTCTTCCGCAATTGAAGCAACTTCTGTTCTTATTTTGGTTATTTCGTTGTATATTTTGCAGGATATTTAATATTTACGAGACGGTAGGTTGGGGAATAGCATCAGTATGGGTCTCCTTACTTTCCTGGGATTTAATTTCTCTCATTTTTGCGCGAGAAGATCTGGATATGAATTTTACCGCTTCATATTCCTGGGCTGCAATCAGTTTCTCCTTCAGCGTCTTGTGATGTTGTAGACGAACGACTTGCTGCATTTCAGCATCTTGTAGTCCATCAATGAATGCCTCTATTCCGATTTTTTCTTGGAAATCTTTGGGAGCCTGTGGATAGGCCAGATGAATCAATCTTCTTGTGTCGGCCTCGAATTCCTGTAGACTCTCATTATATTTCTGACTACAAATCTTTAGCTGGCTTTGAAGCACCCGTTTCAATTGCTGCTGGCCATATCTTGTCTCCAAAGCTTGGACGAGAGATGAATAACTGGGTTCTTCTTGAGGGAGAAATTGTAAAACGGTTGCTGCTTGTCCTCGTAGCGACACTATCAATGCAGCTGCCTTCTCCTTTTTAGCCCAGCCATTGGCTCTAGCTGCAGCTTCAAATTGGAGGCGATACGTTTCCCATGTTGTCTGACCGTCAAACGTGGGTGGCTTAATGATCTTGCTAGTATGGATTTGTGAAACTGGGTGTTGAATATGGCTTGATTCGATTACAGATGTGGATGAGGTAGTGTTTTCAGCTTCTTTGTTGCTTATCGAAGCTAGGCTACGAATTCTTTTTTCTAACTCAACTAGTTCAGTTCTAATTTGCCTTTCGAACTCTACTCTAGCCTTTTCCTGTTGTTTTAAATTATCTCGTTGTTGTTCTAAATTAGTTTTTAAATACTGTTGCTGCTATTCTAAATCAGATTTTAGATGATTTTGTTGTTGCTCTAACAGATCTACTCTAATTTTAAGCTGACTAACCTCTTGCTTGAAATTTTCCTGAATTTATATCAAACCATTTATAATTTCTACTTCTGCTTTTCTACGCCTTTCCTTCTTCTTTTTCCTCGTCCTTCCTACGCCTTTTCTTCTCTTCTTCTCGCCGTTTCTTTTTCTCCTCTTCTTCTCGCCGTTCCTTGTCCTCTTCTCATCTCACTCTCTCCTCCTCTTCTTCTTTCCTGCGCCGTTTCTTTTCCTCCTTTTCTTCCTTTCTGCACCGTTCCTTTTCCTCCTCTTCTTCCTTCCTACGCCTTTCCTTTTCTTCCCCCTCTTCCTTCCTAAGCCTTTCCTTTTCCTCTTTTCGCCTAACTCTCTCCTCTTCCATCTTCAAAAACCATGCTGGTGGGCCTGAAGTATCCATGCCTGCTTCGTATTCGGTGGATCTAGTATTTACCATGAACTTTTATCCCACCGCTGTCACCAATGTTACGCTGGTTTTTTGTATCACAATTTATTTTAACTAAACTTTAACAACAATTATACAACTGATACAATAACTTCAACTGATAACATTAACGTTTAACGTCTATCATAAAACTAAACTCTGACGTCAGGTCGTCGCCTTATATAGCTTGCCTCGACCTTCTAGACCCTTCTCGAACAATCTGGACTTTTCTTTGACAAGGAATGACATTTCGAGACATTTCGGGAATATTCTCTTCTTCATTTACTCGTACCTTTACTTATGACGACTGCAGCACGCTATAGGGTGCGGCGTAACAATATAAATACAAATTAAAGAGTTTGGGGATATTCTAATGGATCCAATTATTAGATTTTGACCAAATGAATATGGGACTACCCCTGAAGTAATGAAGCTGAAACTAGCAGCCAGAGTTAGCAGCCTGTGTGAAAAAATGCATACAAGTTAAATATCAGAAAATAAAGCAATTTTACTACTTAATTTGTTTTACTACTAATAATAACAATAAAAATGATAATATCAAAGGGAGGTTATCCGTATTTGGAAAAATAAATAGTACAAATAAAATGAATATAGGTACTTTAAAAAAAAAACTTTAAATGTATATTTAAATTTTTTTAACGAAAAATTATCGACGCTGGGTTAAATCATACTTAAATAGATTCCTCAAGTAATAGGCTACACGAATACGTCAATCAAAAATAAAGCATTAAGTGCTGTATTGTTGAAATTATTATATTTGTGTGCTAGAGTATTACCTAACACAACAAACATATTGTTTTTTTAATGAAAAATTAACAGCGCTGGGTTTATCATACATAAATGGAATCCTCAAGCAATATGCTATAAGAATAAGTTAATCAAAATTACAATATCCAGTGCTAGAACGTTAAAAATATAAAAAAACATTTAGGATCGAAAGACATTTTCAATAAAAATGTGATTTATCTTAACGAAAAATTATCGGCGCTGGGTTATATGATGTATCAATAGATTTCTTAATGAATAGGCTACAAGAAAATGTCAATTCTAAACATAATATCGAGTGCTAGAACATTAAAAAGATGAAAAAACAATTTGGCTCGAAAGACACTTCACATAAAAATATGATTTTTCTAAATAAAAAATTATCGGCGTTGGGTTATATATCAGTAGATTACTTAAGCAATAATCTACAAGAATACGTCAATTTAAAATCCAATATTGAGTCCTAGAATGTTTAAAATAACAAAAATGATTTAGGCTTGAAAAACATTTCTGATAGAAATATGACTTTTCTTTAAGAAAAATTAACGGCGCTGGGTTTTATCATACATAAATAGAATCTTCAAGCAGTATGCTATAAGAATAAGTAAATCAAAACTACAATATCAAGTGCTAGAACGTTGAAAATTTTAAAAAAGATTTAAGCTCGAGAGACATTTCTAATAAAAATGTGATTTCTCTTAACGAAAAATTATCGGTGCTGGGTTATATCATGTATCAATGAATTTCTTAATCAATAGGCTACAAGAAAACGGCAGTCAAACGTCAGTATTGCACAATATCGAGTGCTAGAAAGTTAAAAATATCAAAAAAACAAGATGGTTCGGAAGATACTTTATATAAAAATATGATTTTTCTAAATGAAAAATTATCGACGCTGGGTTATAAGATATATTAGTGGATTACTCAAGTAATAGGCTACAAGAATACGTAAATTTAAAATACAATATCGAGTGCTAGAACGTAGAAAATAATTAAAATTATTTAGGATTGAGAAATATTTCTCATAAAAATATGATTTTTCTTTAAGAAAAATTAACGGCGCTGGATTTTATCGTACATAAATAGATTCCTCAAGCAATATGCTATAAGAATAACGTAATCAAAAGTACAATATCGAGTGCTAGAACGTTGAAAATATCAAAAAACATTTGGCTCAAGATATTTCCAATAAAAATATGATTTCTCTTAAAGAAAAATTATCGGCGCTGGGTTAAATCATATATCAATTGATTTCTTTAATCAATAGGCCGATAATTTTTCGTTAAGAGAAATCACACTTTTATTGAAAATGTCTCTCGAGTCTAAATGTTTTTTGATATTTTCAACATTCTAGCACTGGATATTGTAGTTTTGATTAACCTATTCTTATAGCATATTTCTTGAGGATTCCATGTATGTATGATAAGACCCAGCGCCCGTTATTTTTCATTAAAAAAACAATATGTTTTTGTGTTACGTATCTCTAGCACACAAATATAATTTCAGCAATCCAGCACTCAATACTGTATTTTCGATTGACGTGTTCTTTTAGCCTATTACTTGAGGAATCTATTTATGTATGATTTAACCCAGCGCCGATAATTTTTCGTTAAAAAAAAATTGAACATACATTTTAAATTTTTTTTAAAGTACCTGCATTCATTTCATTTTTACTAATATTTATTTTTCCAAATTTTTATTACTAATATTTATTATAAGAAGACAAATTAAGTAGTTAAATTACTTTATTTTGTGATATATAACTTGTATGCATTTTCTCACACAGGCTGCTAACTCTGGCTGCTAGTTTAAACTTTATCCTGAAGTACCCCTTTTCTATCAAAAAAAGATCATTGAAATTGGACTTCGTGTTAAAGAATTCTCGCACATACATAAAAAAAAATATTACAACGAATTGAGAACCTCCTTCTTTTTTGAAGTCGGTTAAAAAAATTCACTCTAAATGTACTTTTTTTCTAATTTACCTGGTCTATTACTGCTTTATGAAACAAACCTTATATCATTCAGTTTATCGCAAAAAAGTTGTCTATTATTTTTATAACTACATGGCCTTTTCTGGATATAAATTTCATTATTAATATTTTTTCAGGTATTTAACGGTTAGTAACTTTTCTTTTGGGCGGAATTACAAAACTTGTTATCGGACTGATTGATAAAGCTGCTCCTTGACTTTCTGTTGGATTTTTTACTGCACTTCTCGCTAAACTTCTTGTTGGACTTTTTACTGAAGTTCTTGCTGAACTTCTGGTTGGATTTAATGCTATATTTCTTAATTTACTTAAAAGTTGGCTTCCTGCAGAACTTTTTACTGAAGTTTTCGCTGGAATTTTGGCGGGATTTAATGAGAGACTTCTTTCTGGGCTTATTAATAGACTTTTAGTCAGAATTGTTTCTAGACTTCTCTCTAGACTTTTTCCTATACTTCTTTCTATGCTTCTTTCTATGGTTCTTTCTATACTTCTACCCAGACTTCTTTCTAGACTTGTTGGAGAACTTTTTGCAAGACTCGCTGAACTTCTTAATGCTCTTCTTGTTGAACTTTCTGGTGAAATTTTTGTTGGGCTTCTTACTGGACTTGTTGACTTACTTATTGGGCTTCTGTCTGAAGTTATTACTGACTGTTTTGTTTGATTCAATCCCCATACTACGTCATCATGTGCCATTTGAAGGCCCCCTTGACTTGACTTTGATGTTTTTGTTGGCACTAGACCTCCTGCCATTGCAAGGTTAATACGTCTTTTTTTTGGAGTATTTGAATAATTTACTATTGAAGTTGGAGTAGTTCTTGAAATTTTTAATTTACTTAATGCTGTACCATCTGCTTGAATTGGTACTGAACTATTTTTTAAACCTGGTCCAATTTTTATTGAAGTCATTGCCCAAAGGTTTGCTGGACTACTTATTGGTTGACTTTTGGTTGCAACTGTTGATGGAATTTTTGAAGAAATTGTTGTTGAACTTTTTATAAAACTTCCTACTGAACTTTTTCTTGGTATTATAGATCTAGTTTTGATTGAAGTCTTTGGTTTACTCGATGCTGGGCGTTTTGGCGAGGGGTCTACCCAATTTTTGGAAATGTGCGGTGGAATTGGAAATTTCATTAGATTCGCAAGATTAAGAGATTTCATGTTGTCCAGTTCTTCATTTTTGTACATACTTATTAACAATTTGAGTTGCATAGCTGAATGTTGTAAACTCGCCTTGCATGGGGGGGTTTCTCGCCATTCTTCTGGTAAGCAATCGTCCATTAATTTTTGTTCTTAAAATATGCACGTTTTAGATTTGTGTTTGAAAGATGTCAGTTGATCTTCTTCTTTTTCTAACTGTTCTCATTAGATCTTTTCCTTGGCATCGAAAGTGTAGCACTGAGCTACGCCACTTCTGAAAATATCGTTCCATCCATACAATTTGTATAAATTACTGATCTGTATTATTTTACTGGATAGGATATAGCCCCCTAAAAAACGTTCCGAAAAATTGGCTGATTTGGGCAAATAATATGACGGACCGGTTCTTAGAGCATATAAGACTAGAAATATCATTCAATGTATTTTGTTATATATAAGCGGGGTCATCACTTTAAACGTGAGGGGAGAGGGGTAGGTACTCCATTCTCAATGGCGTACAGTTTGAAAGGGTTCGAATTTATGTTTACCATTTATAATAGTGTTATCGATTGTCCGATATATTATCAAATACAGGCACTTAAAAAATTGGCAACATGGCTATAAATAATGATAAGAGGTTTTTTAAGAAAATTGGGGTTATATAAAAAATGATTCATTTTCTGATTAATATACAATATTTTTATATTAACTTTGGTTATTTTGGTTTTGCCGCAGTTAAATGGATCAAAAATAGTAAGTAGTATCATTTGGATTAATATAGCGAAAATAGTGAAAATTGTTGTGTCCGTATTGTTTACAGTCACCGTATGTACCTATCAATTTAAAATATAGTACGATTTAAGAATCGCACGCTTACCTCGCCGCATGCCTCTGCCCTCGCCGCTATGTCTGTACCCTTAGAAAAAGTATCTCTCCAAATTATTGACGAAGTCTTTCGAAAATTCAAGAGACGCTAAAATGGTGGTTCCCACCTTATCAAGAGTGAGGCCCACAAGGGTAAACTTGTAGCGTAACAAAAACGAGAAATTATTTAACTTGGAATGAAAGACCGAAAGCTGATAGTAGTATTAGAACGTTGAATTTTTTGTTTTGTGAAGCATTGGCATTACTTAGGTTAAACCATGTGATGATTTTCACAAGCCTTGATTTTTAAAACCATTCTATATCGCCTTTTGATTAGGGTTTAAGAACTAGTTCGAGCAATTTATCCAATAATAATTGGCCCTTTTACCTCTTAGGCCTGCTCATGTAAAATATTTAGGCTCCTTACTTCGCCTATTTATATTCTATTAATAAAGGACAGAAGGATGAGTATTGTAACTATGTTGAAAGAAATGAATTGGCTTTCAGTTCAGAATTATGTTCAGTACATGACTGATATTTATTTATAAACTAAAAATGACATAAATCCATCGCATCAGATCTATTAGAAAAAATTCAATTTATTTCACAATATCACAACTATAATACAAGAAGCCAATCTGACTTTCATGTACGGCAAGCCATCACTAAAAGTTCCCAAAATATAATTTTTATTAGAGGTTTAAAAAATTTAATAGACTGCCTACAGAAATTAAAAAAAAAAAACAACAATAAATGTATTGAAAAGTAACCTCAAACAATACTTAATAAATAAACAGAACGGATATACTTTCTTGTGATAATACTCTTTAAACCTGCCCTTTCTAAGTATTTCCCTTAATTTATTGTTATTTTACCCCGCGTTTTACCTCGTTTTACTACTTACTATGTTTAAATTATTAATAGTTTTGCGACGATAGGTTATAGCAACTTATTGTCACAAAACTATTTATGTATTAAAGTAGATCCATAGAGAGCAATGTAGTTTACAAAGGCCTTCTTTAAATGACAACTTTATAATTAAAATGAAAAACAACAAAATTCCTCGGTATCATAATTGATTAAAATTTGAAATGGGTTGATCACATTACGTCATTAAAATCCCAAGGTAAGAAGATTCATTTTTAAATTTTATGAATTGAGGAAATTTATGACTATTACTAATTATTATTGACAATTTGCTGGTTGAATATGTAATCCAAAACTGTATTATAATTAAAATTATCTACAAAAAACCAGCATTATATCCTAACTCTTTTTTATATAATAAAAAAGTGCTTTGTATATGAACATTATATTATTTATCTTGCTGTACCTTTATTTATGGAAAGCCTGAATTGAGATACACTACAAATTATTTGCAATAAATATTAAAAGAAGCATACATTTTTAAATAATTTGACATTCAAGAGCCATTCATACATCACAGTTGACATCTTGATACTTGACAGGCACAGCCAAGCATTATTCTGCTTTTTACCAAATAAAATAGCCGGTTAATTATTCTATGGAGTTCCGACAGAGAGCCAGTAAATTTGATTGTGTTTTTGTGGCTAGGGGCGAAATAGTAGTAGTAATAAAGTATAGAAAGATGAGTATTGCAACTATGTTAAAAGAAATAAATTGGCTTTCAGTTCAGAATTATGTTCAGTACATGACTGATATTTATTTATAAAATAGAAATGACATAGTACCATCGTATCAGATCTATTAGAAAAAATGCAGTTTAATTCTCAATATCACAACTATAATACAAGAAGCCAATCGGACTTTCATGTACCTACGGCAGGTCGTTAGAGAATGTTTGCAATTTATGGAATGTTAAGAATATTAGGAATGTTGAAGTTAGAAATAATTGTAATTCCTAAAATTATCACATAAGAAATGTATATGCGGATTTTAAGAAAATTGATATTAAAGTAGTGAGCATGAACCGAAAATTCTGAAAATCAATAGGGTTCTAAGTTAGAAGTAATTATTCAAGAAAATCAAAACCGCAAGTCAATCAGAACTTTAGTTTTAGAGTTATACATACATACATACACACAGACGACCAGATGAATTTTTTTTGCATTTTCGGACTCAGAATGATTGGAAACATGAAAAAAGGTTTGATGTAGACATGAGCGATTAGCACATCTCTTTCTTTTAGATTCCATCAGTTCACTAAAAAATTATTTTGTTTTAACAAAATAAATTAAAATATCGCACCTTCGGCACAATTGTCAAAAATTCGAAAAGTCAGTTAAGTATGCCAAAATGCTTCAAAAACACCCTTTCACTTGGAGAAACAAAGACATCTGTTGAATTCAGGTATTATGTCGCCAGAAGGCAGCAGTGCCTTTGTCTTATTGGTGCATATCTCTATGCAATTTGGCGCGACAAAATCTCTTTGGTCAGTTGCCGCGTCGCCCGCGAGTGAAGTGATTGTATATTGGAGCGTTAAAGCCGTTAAGGTGAATATGCCTTGTCTTTACTTTTGTTTTTGGAGAGACAAAGTCACATTTACTACACTTATGACTATTTTATGGGCACACATTTGGAGGAACAAGGACGTTTAAACAATTGTGACTTTGTACTTTCAAAATTTTTACAATTTTGTAGTCTTAAAATACAAATATGACTTTATTATTCCAATACCTGTTTGATAAAATTGACGTAAACATACTTATAACAGCTTTATTCGACTTGCAAGCGATTTTGCCATGTCCTGTTGGTCAATCCTTAGCCTTTTTTATGAGTCCAAAATCAACTGCTATAATTTTACGGTGATAATGTTTAGCTATTTTATAATAAAATTTTTATTTACATTACCTCTGTACTAAACTAATTTTTATTTTTATTGTTTTTTAAGGTTTCCAATGTCAATGATGACAAAACATTTTGCTTCTTCTGATACGAAGGTCTTGATAAACCAGGAGCTAATTAAATAGGAACGTGCCTTTACAAGTTTTTGTAAGAACTTTCTTACCAGCAACCCGATATGGATTTAATACTTTATTCCGATATCTGCTGCGGACAGCAGAAAAATAAGTGAGTGGTTTTCAATATTTTCAGGATATTCTGTTCTAATGAAACTAAAAAATATTGCATATATTTTGGATCAAAAATATTTTACATCATTTTTTTAAATTTTAGGTTCGTTTTTAGAATGTATTATTATGCTGTCATTACATTGCCTATAAAGTCCATCACACACAAATTTCTTATTAGGAGCCATACCCAAAATAAAGCTGATGCAAATGCAAATATTAAAAAAAGCCGTATGGGTAATAGAAAAAAAAATAATGATATTGTTTTAAAGGTGCTGTACACCGAAAAGTTTTCAATTCCAAACCAAAAAAAAGAAGACATCCGTCAATTGATTGCTTCTAATATAGTTTCAAACTTCTATGAACCATTTTATAATACCTTATTTTAATTGCAATTTTAAGTAACTATTATCATAACAATCAAAAACTGTTTGAAAATGTATACCTTTAGTTATAATATTATTAGTTTTTGCAAAAGTAACAACAAACTCTCAACTATCTTGTGTTTAGGTGTGTTCCTCATTGTGTTACTTACATACCTAATGTTCTATCAGTCTATTATTTTTTGTGTCTTTAAGGACCGATTCAACCGTTGTGGTAAACGGAGATTGAAATGACATTGTTAATGTAAAAATGTAATTTTAAACTTCGTTTAACACAACGGTGGAATCGGTCCTGACATGTTTAATTTTAGTATTATGTTTTCTTCGGTATATTCAATATTATACGCCTAACACTACTTTTAGTTACAAGGAAATAAAGTTTTTGCGAAAAGAAAGTAATTTCAATTCCAAAATCATTAAATAAATTAAGCTTAATTACGGTCATAATTACAAAGTTAACTGAATTTTGGTAAAACAAGGGCATAAATGAGCATTTTATTTTTCTTAAAAATATTATTAAAAAAATTAGAGGTATTTCCGTCCTGTGGATAACATGCCGCTATTCAAAAAGGTATAATGCATTTTTCATGCAAAGAGGAATTACTTCTAAGCGATATTATCGAATCCATACGATATTGAAGGCAATTTATTTTTTTAATGGCTAATATTGTGATTTGTTATAAAACGTAATTATGCCCTTGTCTTACCGAAGGTGCGACATGTAAATAGCTCAGTACATACCACAAAGTCTTCGATTAAAAACAGGTTTACTAAACAATAAGATAGACAAAGGAATACACTAAACACAGATTTACTCAATAATTGTTGAAAAATACAAAGGAAAACACTAAAACACACTAAATTCGAATAAAAAAATCAGAAAATGCAAATGACACATCAAAACAACAGTCGTATGTCACATGACAGTTTTGTCGGTTATAAAATGACGGCCCTGA